ATTGGTATTGCTCCCACTTAACAGATAAAGAAATCAGGGCTCCAAAAGTAACTCATCCAAAATTATATGATTAATAAGTGTAAGAACTTAAATTCAATACCAGTTCATTCAGATGTCAAAGTCTTTGGGGTTTTTGAGGTATAACCAATATATTAGTCTCAGGTATACAACATAATAATTCAATATTTGTATATACAGTTCATCCTTGAACAACACAGGAATGGGGTGCCAACCACCCACCCCTCCATAGTCAAAAATCCACATCTAACTTAACGGGGCCCTCTGCATACGCGGATTCCCAACTTCGGATGGAAAACACTTTTGCCCTCTGAATGCATGTTTCTACGTATAAATGGACCTGCGTAGTTCAAACCCACATTGTTCAAGGGTTAACTGTATTGTAAAATGATAACCACAATAAGTCTAGATAACAGCTGCCACCATACATAGTTATGAAAAATTTTTTTTCTTGCAATGAGGAACTATAAGATCTACTCTCTTAGCAACTTTCAAAACCACGATACGGTATTAACTATAGTCACCATGCTGTACATTACATTCCCAGGACTTAATTATTTTATAACTAAAATTTGTACCCTCTGACTACCTTCACCCATTTCTCCCACCTGTTACCCACCACCTCTGGCAACCATCTATCTGTTCTATCTATGAACTTGTTTTTTGTTGTTGACATTATTGTTTTTAAATTGCACATTTAAGTGAGATCAATTGGTATTTGTCTTTTTCTGTCTGACTTATTTCACTTAGTATAATGCCCCCAAGGTCCACTGATATTGCCCCAAATGGCAAGATTTCATTCTTTTTTATGGCTAAATAATATTCCATTGCATATATAATCCCATCTCCTTTATTCATTCATCCATCAATAGCACTTAGTTTGTTTTCATATCTTGGGTATTGAAAATAACACTGTAATGAACATGGGAGTTTAAGTATCTTTTCAAATTTGTGTTTTCATTTTCTTCGAATAAATACCCAGAAGCGGAATTGCTGGATCATACAGTACTATTTTTAATTTTTTGAGGGATCTTCATACTGTTTTCCACAGTGACTGCATCATTTTACATTCCCACCAAGAGTGCACAAGGGTTCCCTTTTCTCTGCATCCTCACCAACACTTGTTAATTTTTGTCTTTTTAATAACAGCCATTTTAACAGGTGTGAGCTGGTATCTCACGGTGGTTTTGATTTGCATTGCCCTGATGACTAGTGATATTAAGCATCTTTTCTTGTGCTTGCTGACCATCTATCTGTATGTTTTCACTAGAAACAATGTGTACTCAGATTCTCTACCCACTTTTTCGGCAGAGTGTTTGGGGTTTTTGCTATTAAGTTGCATGAGTTCTTTATATATTTCTTATATTAACCCCTTATCAGATATATAATTTGAAAATATTTTCTCCCATTGAATGACTTGCCTTTTCATTTTGTTGATGGTTTCCTTTGCTGTGCAGCAGCTTTTAATCTGATGTAGTCTCATTTGTGTATTTTTGCTTTTGTTGCCTTTGCTTTGGAGTCAGATCCAAAATTTTATCTCCAAGACTGATGTCAAGAAGCTTACCATTTATGTTTCCTTCTAGGAGTTTTATGGTTCAGGTCTTTAATCTATTTTGAGTTAATTTTTGTGCATGGTGTATGACGGTAGTCTAGTTTCATTGTTTTGCATGAGGTTGTCCAGTTTTCCCAACACCATTCACTGAAGATACTATCCTTTTCCCACTGCATGTTCTTGGCTCTTCTGTAGTAAATTAATTGACCATGTAAGTGTGGGTTTATTTCTGGGCTCTATTTTGTTCTATTGATCTGTATCTGTTTTTATGCCAATACCATACTGTTTTGATTATTATAGTTTTATAATATAGTTCTTTATGTTTTTTGTTTTTCTTTTTCCAGGAGTGCTTTGGCTATTTGGAGTCTCCTGTGGTTCCATACAAATCTTAGGATTTTTTGTTTTATTTCTGTGAAAAATGCTATGGAATAATTCTTCCAATTCAATTCAAAACCAGTTCTCTCAGATGCCAGTCTTACTTTCCTACTTTTTTTTTTAATCCTCACCTGAGGAATGTTTACTGATTTTAGAGAGAGAAAGGGGAAGGGGGAGATGGAGGGAGAGAGAGAGAGGGAGAAAGACAGACAGACAGACATCAATTGTTTGGCTGCCTCCCATACATGCCCCAACTGGGGATTGAACCTGCCACCTAGGTATGTGTCCTGACTGGAAATGAAACCAGCAACCTTTTGGTATACGGGCTGATGCTCCAACCAACTGAGCCACCTGGCAGGGCAGATGCCAGTCCTCTATCAGCATCACCATTTGCATATCCTTTGTCTGTTAGATGTTCTGAGTATTGTTTTTAAAGTTTTTAGCAGTTCATCAAGATTTGATCCTCCAAAAGGTACAAACTTCCAGTTATAAAATAAATAAGTCTTAGGGATGTAATGTACAACATGACTATAGCTAACAGAGTAAATCCTAAGAGCTCATATCACAAGGAGAATTTTTTTTTCCTTTTTTCTTTTCTTCTTTATTTTTATTATATCTATATGAGAAGATCGATGTTAGCTGAACCTATTTTGATAATCATTTCACAATATATGTAAATCAAACCATCATGCTGTGCACCTTACATATAGTGATGTATATCAATTATTTCTCAATAAAGCTGGAACTAAAGATTATTATCCTTTTTTACAAATGATAGGAATGAGGATCAGGATTTTAAGTAGGTTTTGCTCAAAAGCTTAAGACTATATTTTTTTTAGCATTTGAACCTAAGACTTTCTATTAACTGCACTCCCTCTACTATATCACTCTGCCATACCAAATATGCAGCACCAACTGATATGACCACTAATATTCCCTTACTTTCCTTTTATTATCTGCAGGGTTTATATTGATAGTCTCTTTTCTGATATTAGAAATTTCTGTCCTCTCTCTCTTCTCTTTTTCCTAATTAGTGTGACTATAGGTTTATCAATTTTATGAATCTCATAAAAAAACCAGCTTCTGATTTCACTGATTTTTTTTCTAGTTTTCCTGTTTTCTATTTCAATGACTTCTGCTTTTTATTTTCTTCCTTTGCTTGCTCTGGGTAGAATTTGATCTTTGTTTTCTAATTTCTTAAAGTGAAAGTGTAAATTAAAACTTCTGTTTTCTAATATAAGCCCTTAAATTTCCCCACTTGCAGAACTGCTTTAGGTATATACCATGAATTTTGATATGCTGTATTTTCATTTTCATTCAAATCAAAATATTTTCTAGTTTCCCTTGAGACTTCCTCTTTGACCCATGGGATTTTCAAAATGATGTATTTAATTTCAAAATATTTATATTCCCAGTTATCTGACACTGATTTCTTGCTTAATTATTGTAGTAAAAGAATACAGATATATTCCTGAAAAATTATCTGCAAAGTAAAATTATGGAAATTAAACTCACTTTTCCAACAATAAATTAATGTAATGATATTCCCAAGGTCAACAGGATAGGATTAGAGATCAAGTCTTCTATCATCCTTTCCTCTAAAGCAGGGGTGGGGAACCTTTTTTCTGAATGCCAAGGGCCATTTGGATATTTATAACATCATTCTTGGGCCACACAAAATTATCAACTTAAATAGATACAGAGCTATAGAACTATGGATCAGTTGGACAAATTTCAGAGGGAAGGTAGGGGTGGGGAGTGGGGGTAGAGGGAAAGATTAATCAAAGAACTTAGATGCATATATACATGACCTATAGACATAGACAATAGTGTGGAGAAGACCTGGGTGATGGGGGGGGGTGCCAGGT